GTTACTTGTTTAAATAAATTTGTTTTATGGCTATTGGGTAAATTAACCTTAAAAAATAATTAATGGTTTCAAAAAAAAACAAATACTTAATTACACATCTCTTGCATATAAAGTTAGAATTCAAACTAAAACGTAACTAAACACGAATAGTGTCGGCAATTCATTGTTCTTATTTATTCACAACATTCCTTAAATTTCTGGTTTATACAAATATTTGATAAATAAAAAACTTAAAGTGTCAGAAGTGGGGTTTGAACCCACGCCCTCTTACGAGGACCAGAACTTGAGTCTGGCGCCTTAGACCACTCGGCCATCCTGACATTTTTGTTTATATCTTAACTAATAAACTATAAGGGCTTTGTTAAACGAACCATTTCTCTTGATAAAATTGAGATCGCGAAAATCATCGCAAGAGTTGTTAGAAACCACACAATTTTCCTTTAGTTTTGGGATGATAAATTAACTAAAGATATATAACTAATCCAACAAAATATTTAACATTCATCACATAGACAACTAAATTTTTGGTTAAAACCCAAATTAACTAAAGATAATAAGATACAAAAGGGGGTTTATTAACCAACAGCTTTCTAACAAAACATGTTTTGAAACATCATTACATTCCTTAATCCTTCTTCTTGTTCAGAGCTCCTCTTGGAATCTTGCTTATGATCTTACTCAAAACCTTCTCATCCAGTACTGCGTATTGCTTCTTGATCTCCTTCATCGCTTTCTCGCCAAAGGCATCTACTTTATCCTCGTACTTTTCGTAAACCACGGGAATGGTGAAGAGAAGAACAGTAGCTGGAAACAAAAATAGGAAAAGGTATCAATCAATGCAAGTGTGATGATTTCTGTCAATTGTGAATGCAGTATGAGACGTATCCGATTGTTACCACTTACCAATATAGAACAATGTCAAGAAGTTGCAGCAGCTACCAATGATGGACAAAATCCACAAGCCAGCAATTACCTAAACGATGTGCGAGCAAGTGTTAGCGAGCGCTTACGAGGAATTAAAAAAACAAGAAAAAACATTTTGCATCGAGGTGGATAACAGGAAACATACCAAGATAAATTTCTTGATATCTCTGCCTGATGCAATGTTCCTAAGAACGGCAAAGGCGCGGTTGACTTCAATCCTTAATCCAGAAGCAAGTTGAAGAACAGGATCTTCGGGGATGTGAACTTCCGGTATATGAGGTGTTGCCCTGAAAACATACAATCAGTTAAATTTAATGCATCATTATCTCACACATTCAACATGTAAAGAGACGTTTTTTTATCAAACTTACTTGTGAATGAAGGTACAAGCATTAGACCACAAGAACAATGCTGCAAGAGCAAGAATAAAGAGGTGACAGAGGAAAGTGAGGAAATGGTATTCGATTAACTCGAATACAATCCAACACGCAGTCACCGCACCAAATACTCCACCAGATACCTTCTTGTTCCTCCATAGGAATATATCAGCAGCTACATGCAAAAACAGTAAAGCTCGATCAATATCAAACCGATGAACAAAAGCAAACTGTTCCACATAATCTCTCTCAGATTCGAGACGAATTCAAACTAAGTCTAAAAGTATGAGATCTTTGATTCAAATCAGCAATAACCACATCACTTCAAGCTTCAAATCACTTAGCAGAAACCTAAAATCACTATACAAGAAACTCAATGGAGCAAAATCAGAGCTAAGTTTCCTCTCAGATTCGAGAAACTAAGTCTAAGAGTTTGAAGTTTTGACCTCAACCAGCAATACACACAAAATACATTTGAAGCTTCCAATTACTCAAACGAAAAACTAAATCTGCTACAGAGCTCGTAAAAATCACTAAGTAAGAAACTCAAATCTAGCAAAATCAGAGTTAAGTTTGAAGAGTTAACGATTAGATCCATACGTTTTCCACCACCGAGAACCTTATGAACAGGTTTCTCCCTTCCGAAAAGCCGATAAATCTTCGATTTGAAAGACGAAGAAGACAATGTCGATTTCTTATCGTCATCGGAATCGTGAGAAGAAGATGAGTCACCATGTCCATGGATTTTCTCAACAATCTTCTCTAAGATCGATTCCTCGTGCTTGTGATCTTCCACCATTGCTCTTGTTGTTGATTCTCGAAACTTCTCCTCACAAAAACCCTAAAACTTTTACTGGTACAGAAACGAAGAGGACAATGACGACAAACTAATAAAATCAGAGCGTGTGTACTTCAGATTTGATCTCAACCGTTGAATTTTGTAACTCGATCTAGTCCGTTGGTTAGATTCGGATCCGGGTCTCGAACAGGTAACCGTCCACGGTGGAAATTAAGAATTTTAAATTTTGTCAGATGTAACATCTTGGCCACGTAACTAACGGTCGTTAATCGATGTGAGAATTTCCGATGACGTCTCCGTTAGTGGAACGTTAGATGTCGGCAGATTTGCTCCACAAGTAATGGGCCCTTTAGTATTTCGTGGTTAAAAATTGGATTTCGTAATTTGAGAAATTTTGGATATATTTGTTTAGACTTCAGACTCCAAATCCAGTAATTTTGGAAGGAATTAGGTTTTAGTATCCATAGATTAAATATAAAAAAGTTCGAAATGAAATTAATTTTAGAAAAATTTCAAAAAATACCACTTTTCAAATAGCATTTTATAAAAATACAATATTTTTACAATTTTTACAAAAATATCACTTTTTAAAAATTATTTATTCATTATATCATTTATGTTTGGGTTAACTATGTTGTATTACAGTTTAATTTTGAGGGTTTAAGAAGTTTAGGGGTCAAAAGATTT